TAACGTAAATAAGAGGAAAAGAAAATGCTAATGTTCATCCTTCCATACGACTTTCAGTTTGATAAAGCCATGGAATGACCTGAGTGGAAGAAGTGCTTCACCATATTTCAAATTGCAATAAAGCTTACCCCAGAGTGGTGAGGTGCATATCAGCTCATTTAATTTACTGAGAGGTCAGTGAGGCTGAAACCACTTATAAATTGTTTTCTCTTTGCTGAGGAAGGGGATTAAAAAATACCTTCTTAAAGAGTCTAATGGACGTTTCATTCCAAACAGGAATGTAATACATGAATGGGAGTGCTTTTACCAAAGGATCCAGATGGCCGGAGATAGTGTGAAGGCCCTCTTTGAACAAACAAGACGGTGTGACTTTGCATTCAGTAAAGAAATCCACATACGAGATTGTTTGGTAGGTGAGATTTTAAACAAGGAACTCCAAGAAATTGAAGTTGATAGCTGAGCTAGCTCTGGAACAGCTATCACACCTACTGTAAATGCACATAGTAGAAGAATGATGCAAGAAGTAGCAAAGAAAAATTTCCCAAGAGAAAAAAGGGAAGTGCCATCAAGAAAGCCTCTTAAGAACACTGAGTTCCCTTAGCAGAAATGTGACAAGAGAGAACAGTGCAGATGAAGGATACCCAGCCAGCGGGAGCATGTGCAGGTAGAATGTAAGTGTAACCCCCATTTCTTTTTATTATTTCATGGTGGTCAGCCAAAAACACTTACTGCTGTAATTACAGCTGCTGTTTCTACTTGCTCTCAGACAAGGTGGCAGTAAAGAGCCTTGAATGGCTGCAAAGAAGTAGTTGCTATTTCAGCACGCTACAGGGAGTGCGGGAAATTGTTAACCATGCTCAGTAGTTGTTTTGAAGCTGGTGTAGAAGCTTCATTAAGGGCAGACTTTCCTGCATGTACACACGTACCCCCAGAGAGAAGCTGGAAGCTCCTGGCCAATCAGTACTGAGTTATGTCAGGGGCACAAAACTGGCAGCCTTGGTGAGCACTGGTCAGATCCAGCCCAGCCCTGCAGGGATAAGCTAGAGCTGCCAGGGGTAACCCAGACTGAATCTGTGGGTTGGATCTCAATGCAGTTGCCTGTAATTTTAAAGAAGTCAGTGGGATTGAGACTGGGACCGCACCATAAAGGAGCGATCACAGACTGGATGCCAAATGTCTTCAGCAGCTGCACTATATCATTCAACCAAAGACCGTGTGTGAGCCTAACGGCTACAGTCATTGTCAATTTTTCTTTCCTTCTTATTTGAAGTGTTGTTTGTGCCCAATATTGGGGATGCAGAAACAACTGGTTATATAGTACAAGCAAATGTTTTATTTAATTGTCAGTGTAATACCCTGGGTGAGCCTACATTAAAGCAGAAGTCAGAAGCCCCATTGTCAGAAATCCCTGTATTTATTTAGTGCCTAGGCCTGGTGTTATATTCTTCATTTGAAAGGAAAATAAATGTTAGAGTACATTGTAACTGCTGTGCTGTAACAGAGGTGTATTTTTTTAGTGTTATTCATAAAAAGGAATTTGAAATTATCAACTGTGTGCGCGCGCATAACTGTCTTGTGATTAAGGCTACGATTTCATTAGGGATATTTTTAGTAAAAGTCATGGACAGGTCAGGGGCAATAAAAAAAGAAGTCCTGGCCCCTGACCTGTCTATGACTTTTACTAAAAATACCCCTAACTAAATCTTAGGGGCTTGGGGGGGAGGATGCTCCTGCGGATGATGATGCTCCTGGGGGGGACTCCAGGGCTCCACCGCTGCTGCCGCTCCGGGCCGGGGGACAGCACCCTAGGCCCCTGCCACTGTGGCTCCGGGTTGGGGGGGGGCAGAGCCCTGGGGCACTGCTGCTGCTGCAGCTTTGGGTGGGCGGGGTAGCACCCTGGCCCCTGCTGCTGCTTTGGGTAGGGGGGCGGCGCACTGGGGCATGGCTGCTGCTGCTGCCATGCTGCTGCCATCACCCCCACCACCGCCCCTGCTGCCACCCCCACCGCCCCTGCCACTCCTGCCCCTGCTCCTGCCCCGCCGCCGCTGCTCCTCCACCACCCCCGCTGCTGCTCCTCCTGCCGCTCCAGGCGGGGAGGGCGACCAGGGGTCCCGCCGCTGCTGCTCCCAGACCGCTGCTCTGGGGAAGCCTGGGACCAACTGCCTGGGGCCACCTGAGCAGCGGCTGGTGCCCAGCTGCTCAGCTGGCCCTGGGGTCAGCCACACAGGCCGCTGCAGAAGTCACGGAGGTACAAAAAAGTCATGGAATCCATTACCTCTGTGAAAGACTTGCAGCCTTATTCATGATAAAGACTGGTACTGGATTCCTAAGGAGAGAATGAAAGTGAATCCTGTTATAATTTTCACTTTTAGTATTTGGAGGCTTTCTATAGAAAATCCAGCTCTGGATCCCAGCTGTAGTCTCTTGCAAGGATAGGAATCATGTTCTATGCAAAGACTTTGTCAGCTAGAAGAGTCCTGTAGCACAGAATTGATAAGTAAATTGACCTGCCTGCCCTCTACATAGGTTACAGAAGAATGAAGGATATTGAGAGTGTATCAGCTGAAATAAAAATGATGGCCCGTACAAGGGTGGGTGGTGCCTATTTCTCCTCCTGTCTCTTGACAGTAATCCCAGACAGGCTTGGCCTGTTAATCTCAAGGTTTAGAGAACTGTGGTTGACTTAAAGTAGATTCAGGGTAGAGGCAATTGTGATTTGTAAATACACTTTTAAGGAAATGAGCCCTAGCTTTTAGTAGGAGCAGCCCATATAGGACAGATAAGTTGCAATCCTGTACTATGACAAAAGCAAGGTGAATGGGGCAGATCTAGAGCTGTGCCTGACACAACTTGAAGGTTGTAGAGTGCGGTGTCTTTTAGCCCCTTTTTGCAGCTTTCTGATCCTTGGAGTGCCAGTTCAGTCGTGAGGAGCAGCTTAGGGTATGTCTACATTCCTTATGGTGGCGTGTCAAGTACATTCACTGCACTCACCCCCTGGCCTGGGTATTAATAGCAGTGTAGATGGAGAGGCACTATTTAGGCAAGTAAAGCCATGCCAGCACCTTAGAGTATGTCCCCTACATGTCTCTCTACATGCCCAAGCAGTGCCTCCCACCTATTTTTAGCAGTGTAGTGTCCCGCTCTTCACTGCAGTGTATAGCTACATGTAACCTACACGCCGCTGCTATTGTGGACAAGGCCTTAGAGTAGTCTCAAGGTTGTTCTGAGTTGTTGTAGCCCTCAAGGGGCTGTTCAGTATCTGGGGAATCACTGGACAGCGGCAATACCCCTTTCTCCCAGCCACACCCTCCTATGATGAGCAGATCATCAACTGGCCAGTCAAGTTGTCTTTTCATCTGTTTTGCACTGCTAGAGCAATACAAAGCCTGCAGAACAGGGGCCAAGATCAGGTCCTTGCTGGCATACGTCACAAGTGAAATGAATGTGGAGGTGTCAATCACATTTTAGTGCCAGTCTACAGCAGTCTTAGCCTTAAACAATAATACAATTAAACAGAGACTGTCTGTCGTGCTATGGATACACCCAAAGCCAGTATTTGAATAGCAGCACTGTTCCTGATCAGAGTGGAGAGGCAGAGCTCTGCAAAAAGGTTGCATTCCACCTGCCTGCATAATGCCAGGCTCTTGCCAATACTGTCAATTTATCAGTTTGGCCAGCATCACATTTACTAAATGTAAAATATCTCATAGACTCATAGACTTTAAGGTCATAAGGGGCCATTATGATCTTCTAGTCTGACCTCCTGCACAACACAGGCCACAGAATCTCACCCACCCACTCCTGTAACAAACCCCTAACCTATGTCTGAGCTATTGAAGTCCTCAGCTTGTGGTTTAAAGACTTCAAGGTGCAAAGAATCTGTACATATCCAAAGGCACACTGTGTGCTCGTTTGCCTGTATTTAATCAAAAGACAGTATTCATTCAGTACTTGATGCTCTTTGTATTTGAATCTTCTTCTATGCAATCAAAGTTTATGTACTCCCCAGACTGATGCTAATCCATAACAAAGCTAGCACACAACTTGCCAATTTGTGCTGCTGATTGCTATCTGTCTGTAACAACCTTTTGTCAATGTTGTCAATGTATAACTATATATATATATATTATAGTTACACACACACATACAGTTGGAGTAAGACTAAAAAGGGAAAACAGGATGCACCGTCTGGTTCATCTTTTATAAAAGGCTTTTGCAGCTTTCCCCATCTCCGTGCTCGGAGTACAGAAAATATAGTAAGAATAAAAGCAGCTCTCCAGCTTATGATGCACAGCTGTGGAGCAGCCCTGGGCTTTCAGGGATGACATTTATGGCTGACATCAGGTCTGAGTATTTGCATTGGATTTTAGTGTCAGCATTGGAGGTGGGGCTTAGCAAGGACTCTGTTTTGTGTTTCTGATCTAGCTAAGAGGCAGCTCTGCCTGGAAAGATACTAATTTCCCCCCTTTCTGCTATCCTGCTTGGATCTGACTCCTCCCTCCTGCAGCTCTGAACAGCGCAGGCTGAATCAAAGAGCCTCTCATTCTCTACTATGTTTCTCCCTGAACCAGTAGGGCTTGAGCGTACCTGACATCCTGCCTTCATTTCAACTGAACTCTCGAGTAAGGCACATTGTCTGCTATCTGTCAAAAGTGAATGGTATTTTATTCCCGCAAGAGCCCAATTTAATCATCCTCTTGTACTTGGAAGGATTATAAAGAACCAGCTCAAACCCCAAAGTCTGTTTTAAGGAGGAATTGCTTTTTTATCTGCATCGTGCGCTCTTTGGTACGTGTTAATGTTTCCTTTGATGGAGCCTGCTTTTTGTGTGTGAGTTATCCTGGGCGTAGAGGACACACACACCTGAATGTATCCTGATCAAGTGTCAAAAAGGAGAGTCTATGAAAACAAAGAAACAACTTCTGATGTGGAGCAGTTCCGATTCATCTGACGAAAACTTGCGGAGTCGGTGAGAAGGCAAAGTAAAATCTCTAACAACCATGTCGGTAACACCTAGTCATTTCCCACTGAATGGGACAAGCCTCTTTACTGAAAATCATGGCATTATGGATATAACCAATGGACAGAGAACTTTGAATATCTTTCTTTTTTGCTTGACGTTTATAATTACGCTCACTACCCTGCTGGGCAGCATTTATTCACTAGTTTCCTTACTGAAAATTCAAAACAAAACCACACTTTCAATGATTGTGACTTCCTTGTCTGTGGATGATTTGATAAGCGTGGTGCCAGTGACTATCTTTATGCTCATGCAGTGGTCAAGCGAGGCACTCCCCCAGACTCTGTGCACCACATCAGCGCTGCTTTATTTATTTCAGGGCATTTCTAGCAATCTGAAAGGTACTCTTATAGTTTCTTACAACTTCTACACAATCAACAAAACTGTGATGTGGAGTCAGCGGACCTCCAAACAGCCAGTGGGCATGATATGGGCCATTCTCACTATCTGGATTGTCAGCTTGCTGGTGTGCATTTTGCCTCTCTGTGGTTGGGGCACCTATGTCCCCACCTCTTGGGGTTGCCTCACAGACTGCACCAGTTCCTATGTCCTGTTTTTATTCATTGTCTACTCGCTGTGCTTCTGCCTCCTCACCGTGCTTTCTGTCCCTCTAACTTACCAACTGTTGTGCTCAGATGAGCAACAGCGTCTTTATGTCGATTACCAGGAAATCACCCGAGGCTATTTCACCCCTGGGACGCCCCCAGTCTGTAGCACCGCCCTATCCCTTTCTCCGGAGGACCCTGTGGATAAAACCCTGAAGCATTTCCGAAACGCCTGCCCCAGCTCGGAGATAGTATTCAGGCAAAGCCCAGCTGAGAGCTGTGGGCTGGACTCCCATTGCACAAACAGTGTGCAGAGCAGGAGCTTCACTGTGGAGTTTGCTCAGAAACGATTCTCGCTGATTCTTGCGTTGACCAAAGTCATTCTCTGGCTTCCAACAATGGTAAAAAGTCAGACTTCTTTGCATATTTGTAATGATTTATTTACACAGGGACTGAGTTTATGTGATATTAATTGAAACAGTCATCCAGCAATTATGAGCAGCATAAATCATATCCATAGAAGTCATTTCAAACAGAGCTGTGTTTGTGTATGTATTTATCTGGCTTTCTTCAGGATTGATACATTCATACAAAACCAGTGCATTTTAAAAATGAAAAGCCAGATTCATCATTGTTTTTCCAGTTTTATATCAGTATAACTCCACTGAACCCAGCATAGAGCTAGGCTAATGGTAGGGCTGAATCAGGTTTTGTGTTTCAAGCAGTCTGGCAGGCATTAGGTTGACTCTGAGATCTGTGAGTTTTACTAAGGCAGATTTTTTTTCCTCCATCCTCACAGTTCTGAGTCACGCCCTTTGCCAGTCATCTCTGGGTAAGAAACTGAAGCTTGTCTGAGAAGTGATGAAGAATGTTTGTATCTTTGTAATTATTGAAGCATTACTACATTTTGATGCAATGTATGGGAAGGATAAATATAACAAAGGATACCTACAAGTGAGTCCTTTGCTGGGCATGTGAACATGTTGGGAATTGTTCAGTGTCATCCTTGTTCTATGGATGTGTATGGAGTCAGCTTCTTTCCATAAAGAATGAGAATTATAATGCGCGTGAAGCCCAGTCGTGCCTGGCACTGAGTGCCCTCAAACCCCATTGACTTTGGGAGTGGAGGATGCTCAGCACCTCACCGGATTGGCTCAGTTATCCCTAAGAATTGCTTGGAATCTGAGCTGCTTCTTTGGCAGACCTCAGGCATCAATATTTATCATTTCATTTGCAGCATAAGGCATTCTGAGAAATAGAGAAAGAGGGAGAGGGACTGTATAAGGACATTTGTCTTCTAGCATCTGTCAAAGTCACAAAGCCTAGCGGGAAATCAATGAAAATCTGTGACCTCTATTTTTGTCACATTAACAATGTGATGTTTTTGTTATTCCTGGAAATACAGTATGTGACTGAAGTGATTTAATTTCTTAATGTTCTGCCTTTCAGATACAGATGGCTGTCCAGCACATAGTTGGTTTTCAAAGCCTTTCCTTTGAGACATTCAGTTTTCTGCTGACTTTACTAGCTGCCACGGTCACCCCTGTGTTTGTTTTGTCAGAACGCTGGATCCACCTGCCCTGTGGCTGCATCATTAACTGCAGGAGGAATGCATATGCCATTTCTTCCGAAGAAAGGAAAAGTAAGTGCGGGAGGTTGAAGGATGGGATATTGTCTCACGTGATGTTCCATATGGCAACAGACTGTTAGAGTAAATTTTATAGTAGATTGCATAGAAGGTTGTCTGCAACAGTAACAATAAACTGCACTCCTGTAGCATATTTCATATGAGGATCTGAAAGGTTTTCATGGACATTAATTAAATAAGCCTAACAACATACCTATAAGATGGCTAGAGAGGATTATTATCCCATTTTACAGTCAGGGAAATTGAGGCACAGAGAAGTTAAGTAACTTGCCCAAGACCACACAGCAAGTCATTGTCAAACCTTTTAACAGAAACTATGGGTTCAAACTCACTCCTCCTCTAGCCTCTGGACAATACTCCCTCCCTAGAAAAGCACATCTGCCACAATATGACATGCATTAAGAAAATACATTGACTGTGCTAAACACATTTTAAAAACAGGCAAAAACACCTCTGAATTCTGAGTGACTTCATGCCCCTGAATAACAGGAATTTTGTCAATGAGAGAAAAGGCCCTTCGGATCCTACTGCTCACACATCCATCATGCAGCCACTGAGAGGCCTTCGATGTTGACAGGACCTCACAGCCACAGCAATGTGGTGCAATTACTTTCACATATAATAATTATAATCGTTTTCTGTATTAGCCATTCAGCAGTGATCCATAGAAAATTTAAATCAGTAGAAAAATTCTCATTGACATCAATTGGTTTTGGATTAAACTCTTGTTCCCTATTTATACCGGTGTAACTCCATTGACTTCAGTGGGTTTACTCCTGATTCTCATGGGAGTAAATGAGAGGAGAAAAAGGTTCATGATCTTCAGAAAAGCACCTTTTGGCTCAAGTCATTTGTTCTCTCTGAATTGGATTCTTCTTTCAAATCCAGACCATGAACTTTTAACCACTATCCCAAGGAGAGTGACTGCAGTTTGTCAAGAAAACTATTCATTCCAGATACAGCTTTGCTCTGAATCTAATCTAATACTTACAGAGGTAAACGTATGATGATGGTAAAGAAACAATTGTATGATAATGTAAATAGTAGGGCTGTGAAGCAATTAAAAAAATTAATTGTGATTAATTGCACTGTTAAACAATAATAGAATACCATTTATTTAAATATTTTTGGATGTTTTCTACATTTTCAAATATATTGATTTCAATTACAACACAGAATACAAAGTGTACAGTGATCACTTTTTATTTATTTTTGATTACAAGTATTTGCACTGTAAAAAATCTGAAAGAAATAGTATTTTTCAATTCACCTAATACAAGTACTATAGTGAAATCATTTTATCATGAAAGTTGAACTTACAAATATAGAATTATTACAAAAAAACTGCATTTAAAAATAAAACAATGTAAAATTGTAGAGCCTGCACATCCATTCAGTCCTACTTCTTGTTCAGCCAATCACTCAGACAAACAAGTTTCTTTACATTTGCAGGAGATAATGATGCCTGCTTCTTGTTTACAACGGCACCTGAAAGTGAGAACAGGCACTCGCATGGCACTGTTGTAGCTGGCGTCGCAGGATATTTACGTGCCAGATGCACTAAAGATTCATATGTCCCTTCATGTTTCAACCACCATTCCAAGGGACATGCATCCATGCTGATGACGGATTCTGCTTGATAATAAACCAAAGCAGTGTGGACCGACGCATGTTCATTTTCATTATCTGAGTCAGATGCCACCAGCAGAAGGTTGATTTTCTTTTTTGGTGGTTCGGGTTCTGTAGTTTCCGCATTGGAGCGTTGCTCTTTTAAGACTTCTGAAAGCATGCTCCACACCTCGTCCCTCTCAGATTTTGGAAGGCACTTCAGATTCTTAAACATAAATCTCACATTGGTACCTTCTTTGTGTTTTGTCAAATCTGCAGTGAAAGTGTTCTTAAAATGAACAACATGTGCTGGGTCATCATCCGAGACTGCTATATCATGAAATATATGGCAGAATGCGGGTAAAACAGAACTGGGGACATACAATTCTCGCCCAAGGAGTTCAGTCACAAATTTAATTAACGTATATTTTTTTAACGAGCGTCATCAGCATGGAAGCATGTCTTCTGGAATGGTGGCCGAAGCATGAAGGGGCATACAAATGTTTAGCATATCTGGCATGTAAATACCTTGCAATGCCGGCTACAAAAGTGCCATGCAAATGCTTGTTCTCACTTTCTGGTGACATTGTAAATAAGAAGAGGGCAGCATTATCTCCTGTAAATGTAAACGAACTTGTTTGTTTTAGCAATTGGCTGAACAAGAAGTAGGACTGAGTGGACTCGTAGGCTCTGAAGTTTTACAGTGTTTTGTTTTTGTGTGCAGTTATCTAAAAAAATCTACATTTGTAAGTTGAACTTTCACAACAAAGAGATTGCACTACAGTACTTATATGAGGTGAATTGAAAAATACTATTTCTTTTGTTTATCATTTTTACAGTGCAAATATTTGCAATCAAAAATAATATACACTTTGATTTCAGTTATAACACAGAATACAGTATATATGAAAATGTAGAAAAACATCCAAAATATTTAATAAATTTCAATTGGTATTCTATTGTTTACAGTGTGATTAATTTTTTTAATCGCGATTAATTTTTTTGAATTAATCATGTGAGTTAACTGTGATTAATTGACAGCCCTAGTAAATAGAAATGCTTTGTTTTTAGGATGTTCATGCTAAAGGCTATTCTGAATTTTTAATAGAATAATTGTTGAGTTTGTGATTTCACACTTAATACTATCTTTTGAGAAACAGAATCTGTATGCTGAATAAAGACACTATTTTATAAATGGTTCTCTGTACTTTGTGTCTTAAAATGTTCTTAGGTAGATTTGATAGGAAGATGCTTTCATGATTTGATAAGAGACCTTAATTACTGTATCTAGTAATATGAAAATGGGAATGCAGGGTGAAGAAATGGAGGGAATTTATGGTAGAGGAGAGAAGTAATTAAGGGGATATGTGGCGGTAGAGCACTCTTACCTTAATTCCTGAACAACTATATCATCTAAAATAATTAGCCAGAGTACTGATGTTGGAATATAATTTTACATGTGGAGTATATATATTGTCCCTGTATGAAGGTAAGTTGATTATGGAATTAGTTCACCTACATGATTGTTTTCTAATGTAGAAATGTATTTTTCTTATTTGCCTCTTGGCACTGAAGTACAGTTCTGATTGATTCTCAGAAGTAGAATGTAGGGAGGCTGTGGAATCACTGGAGGTTTTTAAGAACAGGTTATACAAACACCTGTCAGGGATTGTCTAGATAATACTTAGTCCTGCCTCAGTGTGGGGGACCAGACTAGAAAACCTATTGAGGTCCCTTTCAGTCCTACATTTCTATTATTCTAAGTGTATTTTTCTGAAAGCATGCTATGTTATCTTTTTGGGGTTTGGGGAATTTCTCATTAGCTGAAACTGAGATATACTGCAAAATGAGCCATAATTTGGTTATTTGCTTCTAGTATAACTTTTATAAGGCTTTGCAAATCCTGTTCTTTAAAAAATGATGGGTGAAACTATTCCTATTTTCTGGCAAACAACCACCTTCAAAACATAGAAATTCTACCATGTTTTGACAAAGGAATAAATAAGCTAATTACCTGAGTGTATATAATGCTACGGTGAGTATTTAATTTTCCATAATAATTCATACATTATGGATACCGAAAAGTCTGTTGTTAAAAGTAACCAACTTGTATTTTAGTTTTAAATTTACAGATAAAATTAGGCATTTTTAAAGATATATTTTCTAATTGTGTTTCTTGTACGTAACTTTTTTATATTTTAATTATAGAAGCTTTTCTCTTTCTGTTTAGCAAAAAGGAGGGGTTTTGAATTCAACCTATCATTCCAACAAGGTTATGGAATCTACAAGATATCCCATGAAAACCACCACCATGATGACGATGGTGATGATAACTCTATATCATATCACAACCTGATGAACTATGACTGTGAAAACACACAAGAATCTCAGAAAGATAGCAACAAAATCCTTAAATCTGCCAAAATTGAGTTCAGCACCATACCCATAGAGGATAGCTCCATGTTTAAAGATTTCAACAAGGGCAAAAGTATGGAGACTAAACAAGAACTTGGCAAGGACAAAAGCATGGACTGTCTTCTTTCTGACAAACTAGGAGCCTTTAAAAGAGAGGAGGTCAGAAACTTTGACAAATCAACATTTTTTGAAGCACAGGAAAGAAGGCTGTCTCATGAGGAGAGCCGTAAACCAGAACTCTCAGATTGGGAGTGGTGCAGAAGCAAATCTGAAAGGACTCCTCGTCAGGTAGAGCATGGTTTTGTTCTTCATTCTTTTTTTCTTCTTTTGAAGAGTTTTAAAGAGTTCTTGTATAAAAGCATCTTAAAATACATTTCTGATTTTGTTGAAAAATTCTCTCCAGCTCAATTATTTGTAATAAAAATACTAAACAGGTTCTAATTCCAGACATTTAAAACAATATATATTTTGGCAACCTCTACTCACTTTCCATCTATTTTCTAATTCTGCTCTTGGAATTGTGTCCCATTTGAACCAGTAGTCATGGATTTTCCTTATGTAAAGTGCTACATGTGTCGAGGTGGTACACTATAATAAAAAGTTCATGTGAAGGGTTTTAAATGATTTTAAGTTTACATTGTGACACAATACTCCTATTAAACAAAAGATCACATTTTCAAAAGCAGTTTTTAAATGTGTGCCAACACTTTTTCATGCCTAAATTTTGGATGGGCAAAAATGTGTAAGCATGAAAAAATGAATATGTAGAAATACAGGAGTGAAGAACATGTGTGCAGAAATGGGTGTGCCTAATTTTAGAAGTTCAAAATACAGTAACTTCTCACTTAAAGTCATCCCGGTTAACGTTGTTTCGTTGTTATGTTGCTGATCAATTAGGGAACATGCTCTTTTAAAGTTGTGCAATGCTCCCTTCTAACGTAGTTTGGCAGCCGCCTGCTTTGTCCACTGCTTGCAGGAAGAGCAGCCTGTTGCAGCTAGCTGGTGAGGGCTTGGAACCAGGGTGGACCGGCAGCCCCCCTATCAGCTCCCTGCTCCCCTAAGTTCCCTGTGCAGCAGCTGTCCAGCAGGCTATCAGTTGCCAGCAGTTCAGCTGTCCCTCCCCCCACTGCCATGTGCTGCTCCTGCCCTCTGCCTTAGAGCTGCTCCCCAAGACTCCTGCTTGCTGTGCAGGGGGGAAGACGCGGGCTAATGTCAGGGTGTCCCCCTCCCCCCTGCTCTTGCACCCTGCTTACCCCATCTTCCATAGAGCAGGGGGGACACACGACAGGGCTCAAGACGGAGGGAGCTGGCAGCAGCTGCGGTCTCAGCAAGCTGATCTAATTAACAAGGCAGTGTACTTAAGAGTAGAGTCAGCGTACTTAAAGGGGAAATGCGCATCTCTCTCTCTC